GTACAAGCCTTGCCCTTCCATTAAGCATAGCATTATGGCTGTCCCAGGCAGGAGATGCTGTGTGATAGGTGGTATTAAGGAACGAGAAGGCAGACATTCCCTATTTTTGTTCTCCTGTTAGTTGTCATATCTGCAAACCTCAGTTTGACAAAGGATAAATACTCTTCTGTTGCTAGCAGTCTTCTGCAGTTTGGTCAGTTTGTGTAGACATGTCTTTTGGTACTTACCTAGAGTACCAAATGTCTTGTAAAAACTTGAGATCATGAAATGATGACTCAGTGTGCTGTTGTTCCATTTGTTCCTACCACTGCAGTTCATGTGTTTACTTTTCTAACCTGGCAATATTTGTTGGGAACGCAGATGCCTCTTGTACTACCATTTAGCCCCTCCCATTATTAGTTCCAGTTTGAATTGTGACAGTTCTTCCCATCACAAACCATATTGAATATTCAAAAAAGTTTCTCTTTTTTTCTCTACCAAAGTGTTGCTTTACAGCTGAAGAGCAAGTATAACAAATGGCAACCCCCTCTTCAGGAATCAGGGTTTGCCATTTGCCACCCAATTTGTATTTACTTTTTGGTTCCTTTAAAAAAAAATCTTCAAGGTCCATTTCTTCAGCACCAAAGTATTTGAACTTCCTGTATTATGAAAAAAGAAATACAGATTTTTTTTTAGCCTTGTAGAATTTGTATGGTACGATCTTATAAAAACAGTTTCATGCATATTTTCAGTTTAAAATTTAAATATATGCAAAACCCATTCAAAGTACATGAGATTCAGCTTTATAACTATATGCATATATTTATATATTCATATTCAATACAACAAATTTCCCACAATTAAAACATGGGGGGAAAATCACACACATTGCTATAACATGTAAAATTGTACTAAAAGAATCAAAGCCCAACATCTTTGTCTTTTTTGAGTATATCAATTTTGTACTTAAAAGGTGTCTGAGTTGAATGAGGATCTCATTAGTACTTTCCATAAAGAATACATACAGCTCTAATAAAAAGACAATTAGGTATCCTGTTTATCACCATAGCCTACTGTTTTATCTTCCATTTATTTTGTTAAAGTTCCATGTTTTACTGTAAACTCAGCATATGGTGTTGAGAGAACTACCATTTATATGGTTTAATATTAGCTATATCACTCTAGGATCTAATCTTAGGAATTACTTTCCATGCACACATTTCCCCCAAGGATAATTGTTAACAGAAGATAATGGCAGAAAGCCAGGGTGGGAAACCAGGCCTTCCAAGAACACTGCTAGCCTCTATTTCTTTTTTTTTTTCTTTAAAAAAAAAATTGAAATGGGGGAAGAGAAAGTGGCTTAGTTGGAAAATTCATGGAAATTATGGATCAGTACTTGTTTTTCTATACATCCGCTGTACAGTATAGTTATTGGGGGCAGAATGGGGAACAGGCACCAGTGAACTAGTATAGTACTAGATTACTTCTATGTAGATTTGTGGGGAGCAACAGCAAGAATTGCAGTTTTAGCTTGTAAGTAAGAAATAATGCAATAATGGAACTAGACAGGCCAAGCAAGCATGCATGAAAGGGAGATCTATTGGTTTTCAGGACATGTCTTAGATTTTTGGTACAATTCAATACAGTTTAGATTTTACTATCCAATATTTGTTTAAATCACTCTTTAAAAACTGCAGCAGAATGCAGTTTCTCCCTCCTGCTTTTCTCTACTAATCAGACAGAATAGTGGTCACATCCTCCTCTATTGCAGGTTGTTTGCAGAAACAATAGAAAAAGTGAGAATTTCCAGGAATATAAAAGGGAAGGGATTATAGGAGGGGGAATTCCATGATGGAACAAACAACTACTATTTCAATGTTCTCTGTCTTTTTTTCTCAGTATTTTTGTGACACTTTGAAGTAAAGCCTTTGAAAAAGAGAACACCAGGTACTTTTATGACAGTTCTACCTGAAATGGATATCTCTGAGAATGTGGCTCTCTGAGACAAGCTTCTTCGGTAAGATAAATCTGGGAAGAATGGTTGAAAGGTATAACTTGCCACGTTCACCTCTAGGCATACATATTAAGTAATGCTGGAAAATATTGATAGTTACTTGAGTCCTCTGAAGGAGTTTTTCTCAACTCAGTGCTTCAGCTTCCACATTTTCCCCAGCACTGGCTGCTGAACTTCTAATCAAGCTGCTCAAATAAATACATTATATACAATCAGATTGCAACAAAGTTGAAATGAGCAATTAGCATCTATAAATTCTATAAATTAATCGGTGATTATTCCATGTCTAGGACTTTGTTGCTGACTATCTGATACTGTATTTCCTCCCCCCTCCAAGACTTCAATAGGTTTGTTTCAAGGAACTAACCCTTAAAATAGCAGTTTTGAGAAAGTTTTCAAGAATTTAATAGTGAAACTCTGTATTATCTAATCCTACGCTCAACAAATGAGAAATAATAACGAAGAGGCTTTAGGCATTTTTGGTATATGTTATTAGTTATCTTTAATATTGAAAAACAAGCCTCAAACAAGACGCGGGGAACTATTTTAGACCAAGTTTAAGCTGTGACAGTTTGCTAAAATTAATGGCTGGTAATTCTAAATACAAATTATTACAGACCCATCTTGAATTGAACAGATCCCCAAAGTGAATTTTTGAAGTTCAGAACTGTTTTGGAATGTGTATTGTGGTCTATAAGTTCACATCTTTGGATGATTACTTGTGAATTACTTTAGAAAGGTTATGACTTAATATGCCAACATGGGAAATTTTTCTGCTATTGAAGGAAAATATATCCCCCCTCAAAGTGGAGACAGAGGTTTGAGACTTTAGTTTTAAAAAAAGTACCACTTGTGTGCCTTCTTTGTTTTTCTACTATGCCAACTGAAAGCAGTCATTAAGCAACAAGACTGTTATTATTATTACCAAGGGAAACAACGAAACCCATTATCATCATGAGGCCTCACATTCACTGGCAAGGAAGACTCACAGAGCACTTACAAGCTGGCCAAGGACCATTAATAGCTACTACTCAGTATAGTAGCATGCATTGTTGATACCATCCTGATCTGTATTGGCTTCCGGATGCTTTTTAGTCCAGATCAGAGAAAGCCCACATGGAGCAAGAGATGAAATGCTTCTTAGATCATAAAGACAAAACTAAAATATTGCACAGACTCATCCTTTTGGACAATGGTGAGTAAATTCTGCTGAAAGCTAATAGTGTAGCTCTTCCTAAAGATGCCAAAGATCTAAATGTAAAAGAAGGGCAGCCTTTTCGTCCAGTATCAAAATTGGTTCAAGGTATGAAACTGCCAAAAGTAGAGCATCAAATGCCCCACCCCGCCATAGTAGAGATACAAGGCTAGTCTAATTCTCAGGGAGAAAACCCATCAGCACCTCTTTTCTTCTGATTAAAGGAATGATTGGATGTAGACTTTGAGTATAGCCATTAAGCAGAATGAGACGTAGGTATTTATTTCAGTGACTTTACTGGAAGTATGATAATTTGGACCCACATCAATACTAAAAAATTAACAATTACAAATGTGTTGCCTTTTCATCATATTCAAACCGCTGCTTGACTTTTGTTCCTTTATGCTCAAAGATACCTCTCCATTGCCAGGATTGCACAGAGATTCTTAATTTCCATCATGTTTCAGCCCACAGAATCCATCCCTTTCATAGCAGAGGTTAGAAGAGTTTAGGTTTGGAAGGCCACATGGGGAGGAAAGGACAGTTGCCATCAAAAAGTCAGTATGCCTTAGACTGTCTCATGCAATAGCTCACACACAAAAAAGTGAGTATCTTGGGCAACTGGGATGCATTGTGAGATTTATTTTACTGAAAATGAAGCAGGAAAAGTTATATCTTGGTTTAAGAAGAACTGGTTAAAAATCAGATGCATTTTTTTAAAAACAAGACCAGAAATAATTAGCATTAGCAGCTAAGTGCTTTATAGTTCAATCCTCTCCAATGTTAAGTACTCCCAGTAAATCATTCGCTGATTGACAGAACTCTACCCAGAATTGCAGTCTCGCAATGCAACAAATAAATAGTCTTTGTCAAATCCCGGTATTGAGACAATGAATACTTGCACAGTGAAAAAAAAAAACATTGTTCATCTCTCCTCAAAAGGGAAGTTACTTCTGTAAAAACCCCTGAAATTGGGGACATTTCTGCCTATCTCTAGCCATCCTGTACAAAGTCTAATTCCCAGGTACTTTGCAGCTTAGAACCTTGCTAGGGAATTCCAAACTGGAGGAGAAGAGAGGATGATTCATGGAAAGGGCGGCTTGACTTGATCCTCACCTTCCAGCCCCTGCCTTCACTGGCCCACTACTGATACCAAACTTCCTGAACACCGACCCTATCAGGAATAATCTCCCCTGACCTGTTAGCGAGGATCTCGTGATTAGAAACTCTCCTCTGCCTAGAAGCCATTTGGAAATTGTAAGAGGTAAATACTTGTTTGTTTGTGTCGTCGTCCCCAACCCCCAACCTGTCTCTATCCGGCATGAAAGGGGGGAAAACGGGCTTTGCTTTTGAGGGCTCTAACTCACCGTTTACGTCAGGGTCTTTCCTCTCCCTCGCTTCCCCTCCGTCTCCGGGTTCCAGGTAGGACGGGCAGGCTCCGCTTGGCCCCTGCCTCAGCCCTTTCTTTCCCTTGGCCAAAGTTGGAAGTGCTGAAGAGCCAAGCCGGGCCAAGCAGCAACCCCAGGTCGCGCGCCAAGGCTCCCGAGGCCCCTATTGGCCGGCGGACAAGCACGTGCCAGTCCTGCTGGCTCTATATTAGGACAATAGTTGCCTCACGGCCGACTTTCCTGGGGGCTGAGGGGAGGAGGAGGAAGAGGAGGAGGGGCAGCAGCAGCAGCAGCAGCAGGCGCGGGTGCGGGTGCGGGAGCAGGTAGAGAGCGAGAAAGGGAGGGCAGAGACGGGTGCCGCGGCCCCTTCGCGCTCCTGCCGCCGCGGTGCCTTCTCGACGTGCCTTCCTCGGGGGCGGGAAGGATGAACTCTTTCCTGGAGTACCTGTCGCGGGGCGGGGACAGCTTGAGTTTAACCGGGAAGTTTAGCAGCGCAGAGCCCGGCAGCGTGGCTTTGAGGCCGCCCTGCGCCCTGTCAGCCGGCGGGGACGGCGCTTACCCGGGTCCCACCGCGGGAAGCTTGCCGGACTTCTCCAAGCGCTTGGCGCCTCACCACCAGGCGCCCCGGCTCCAGCCTCAACAGCTGCCGCCCTGCGCGCTTACCTCGCACGTTTTCCCCTCGGCCGACTTCAACCTGCTCCGTCCCGAGGCGCCCTACGGGGCTCCGGAGGAGAGCGCTCCGCTGCATTACGCCACGTCCATTTTCCCGGGCGGCGGCGGCGGCGGCGGCGCCTACCTGCAAATGGATTATACCGCGCTCGCCGAGACCTTTCAGCCTTGCCCTAAGGGTGCGCTGCTGCGGCCGCCGCCCCCGGATCTCTGCCCCAAGGCCAGCGGCCAAGCGGCGGCTAGCACTTTCGAGTGGATGAAAGTCAAGAGGAACGCGCTCCAGAAAAGTAAGTGCGGGGCTTCGTCGGCGCGTGCCCGGTTTGGGTGGGTGGGTGGGTGGGTGTTGGTCTTGAAAAAACGGCAAAGGTCCTCGGCTCCTTCGAGGCCCGAATTGCTGCTGCTGCTGCTGCTGCTGCTGCTGCGAAGTTGTCCAGATGCGAATACTTTGTAGCTTTCTCATTGCGCAATTGCCCCACCGAAGGTTTTTTTGTTTTTTGTTTTTAAAAGTATTTAGTGCCCTGTGCCTGTTTCCGCCACGAAAGTCATTAGAATAGTCACTTTCAAAGGCTGGAAACTCTCTTAAGATGGGCTGGATTTAATATATTTCATTCGTTTCCATCCTCTGATGCAATCCAGATGGAAACATAGCGGGCTTCCTCCAAGGGCTCCATAAATGCGTAACTTTGAATTAGAGAGAAATGGGAGAAAAGTCCCCGTCCCGCCCAAAATGTAATCCTGATGGTCTAATCCGAGGAATTTGCATATTTTATGACTTTCCATAACAGTCCAATCTTTTCAACCTTTTTCAGGTAAACCCACAGCTTGTGGGTCTTCCAGTCTTCCTAACATGGTGAGAACCAATTTCAGCACTAAGCAACTGACCGAATTGGAGAAAGAGTTCCATTTCAATAAGTACCTCACCAGAGCCCGGCGTGTGGAAATAGCAAAGTCTCTGGGCCTCAATGACACTCAAGTGAAAATCTGGTTCCAAAACCGGAGGATGAAGCAGAAGAAAAGAGAAAGGGAAGGAATAGTGCTTCCTGGAGTACCTACTCAACTCTCTCCTTCAGTATCCAGCCCCAGACATTCAGGGATGTGCTCTGTGGCCCCTTCCCCTACCAAAAGCTCACCTTAATACTGTGGCATTATGATCACACTGAGAATTATTTGATACAGATGCATGATATTGAAAAGACTCAGAAACTTCAAAAGCAAAATCAGACAGCTCTGTAATGTGTGAAGTCATGCAAAGTTGAATTCAAGGTACAAAAGAAGACAATAATTGCACTAAGTTTTACATTGACCATAGAAAAGTCCATTGTATAGAATGAAAACCTGCTGCTTTACACAGAACTGATTCAAGGCACAAAAGGCAAATGATATGTTTACAATTTATTTATATGTATTTTCAGGGAAAGCTGCTTTCAGCTTCTATATGCTGCTAAACTTTGTTGCTGGCCTGGCTGAATTTATTTACAGGCTGTTATTACATTTGTTTACTTAAAAGGAAACCCCTTAAGACTGATGTGGGGGATTCTACAAATAAAACCAAAGAGAGGAATAACTCATGGATGGAATCTATTCTGCACTGATTTTAAATCTATTTCAATCCAACCAACCTGTGGTTTTTAGAATATTGAATATTAATTTGAACAGGTTCCACTAGGACTTTTCCATAGTCCTTCTTTGAGGTATGTGTGTGGAAACACAATCATTAGCAGGACAGTTATCAGAGGATATTTTGATTCCTTTTTGTTTCTGGGAATCAAGCGGTGATTCTTGTTAACAAGGATTCTTGTCAGAAAGTTCTGGCAATAGACTGATTTAAAATACATTGTTTTAAAAGTTGGGTGAGGGAGAGAGAGAAACAAATGGGTTTAGATTATTATTATTATTTATTGCACTGATATATACCAGGATAAAATGTAGTAGTTTAACACAGTTCCAAAGCAAAGGACGCCCTGCTTTTTTTTTTAATGGCTTCATTTCCTTGTTCTTTTCTAGTTATGAATTAACTAGCTTCAGTTTTGTTCCCAAATAGGTTCTTTAAAAATACACTGGCATGCATATAAACAGCATAGCCCAGTGACCAGTCTACACAGGGTATGTTTTTAAAGTTCCATTTTAATTTTGAACAACAGAAACTATTCACAGTAGTCATGTTCATAGTTGAACATTGAATTGTAATTCTGAGAGAATTTCCATTGCACTGGGAATAACAAGCACTGGTAAAGGAATAAAGGCAATTTCCTCAGAAAATAATGTTAATGAAAATTCCAGATTCATAAAGTAATTGTCAACCAGAGTCAGAGTAAAGTCTTTCTGGTTTCAATTATGGACAACTGTCTAACTCTTTATCAAATTTCTGAAAGTCCCTTTTTCTGACAAAATTTTTACTTTTTTAGTAAACCCTTGAAATTCTTATTCTGAGAAAAAATTAACTATTAAGTATGAATATGGTGAGAGAAATATCTGGCAGTTAAATCAAATGTCCCATGTTCATCGTTCGAGGGAAGGAGAACGGAGATGATAGGGAAGTGAAGAAAGCCCTATGTCTCAGGAAATTCATGTCAATAGAGAGTTGCCCTTTACTCTTGTATGAACCACTTAAGATGAACATTATGATTTTAATAGAAGTACAATTTATGAATAAACTTTGAGATATGTTTACATTCTGTTGCCATTAAGTCTGTGTCAATCTTGGTTTTTAATTTCATGCTAATCATCCACTTGAAAAAGAGAGAGCCCTCTGAGGCTTTTGATATTTCAAAAGGTCTCCAGGCTCCCATTCCAGAGTTCTTCTGAGGAACATGATGTGTTGCTAGAAGAGAGCTTACAGCTGCAAGCAAAGAAGAAAAACAAGTTATAACAGCCTGGCCCAGAATTCATGTAAGGAAGCCCTTGGGCACTGAAGCTAATTAAACCCATTACCAAATAGTCCAAATAAATAATAACTCAAAGACTTAACTGGAACAGAACTAAATCTGTTAAGCAAACTGGAATTGTCATTAACTTGTGAATAGAAATGAATTGATCAAGGATTAGAGAGCTAATTTTTTTGTTGAAGACTTACATCATAAGTCATATCAGATTGCTGTACTTGACAAATATATCTGAACTCTTCCTGGCCTGTAATATCATGGGTATAATCAGGTCAATATCTTAGTGGCTTCACTTAAACAGTTATACTTTCCAGAGCAGAAACAGAGAGCTATTTTTCCCAGGGAAAAAACAGTCTTTGATAGTCTTAAAAATGTCTATAAGTGTTAGACACAGTGGATTGTTTATTCCATTGTGTTTGGAAAAGTTTTGTATTATCTGATTATTGTTTCCATTTTTTTTTTACTTTACACTTATGCAGTATGATTCTAGGTTTATATAGAAGTCTGCCTCAGTGTGTTCATGAACTGTGCTACCAATTTGGACTGCAATTCTGTATACTAGAGAGTAAGATCTTTGGTCTCTGGCGAGACTTATTTCTGTAACCATGCATAGTTTCTTTGATCAAACAGGAATGTCAATACAGGACTTTTTAAAGTCTCTTTGCTTTCTTATTTCCTCCATTGACCCTTTCCAATAAAATCTACTTGATGTTTTAGACCATTAGAAGACATCAGCAAGACAATGCTCTGTTTGAATAAAAGTGTCAAAAGAAATGTGGTAGTGAGTGTTTTATTAATGTGAAGCTTGGAAGGAGGTTTCCATCACATAGGGAGATGGGATACACATGATGCTGGTTTCATTCCATGATAGGTCTTCAAGGCAGAAGACTGGGTCAAAAAGAGTTCATGTAAGGAAAGAGTGGGAGGCTTTTGAGTATACATATACATACTATATTTTTACACATACATAAACACACACACGTTATTGAAGTTCTACAAAATATAAAATATAAGGGAAAAAAGCTGTTGTTCAAGCACCTGAGAGGCATTTCTAAGCATGTCATAAAAAGCACACTGCAATCCTTTGCATAGTTCCTTGGGAGTAAATCTAACCTAATTAGATTAACTTATTCTAGATACTTTGAAGTGGCTAAGAAAAGGAAAGGTCTCATGACATCATAAAAGCAATTTATCTGAGCATACATTTTTGTGGTTTGCAGCTCACATATTCAGATATAAAGTAAAGGGAGAAGTAAGTAGGGAGGGAAGGAATGAAAATAGTTTAACTGGAACCTTTGAAGTGAGTGTTTTTAGTGAAATCTTATATTGTTTAGCTTGAGGGCCCTTTTATAACTGATTTTTTTTGTCTTTTAGTTTATTGGTACTCATTCTATATAGATAAGTCAAAAGAATTTAGTGGCTGAAATAGACATTTAGGATAATTTATCACCCTAACACCCTGCTCATCTTCCGGAGAGTTTTACAGTATGTTTGAATTGGTCCTGTTAGATTTGAAGAGTTAAGATAATTTTTATACAGATGATAAGCCACCATGCTAAATTTTTCAATTGCACTAAGCTTAAATTGGGAAAAATATCATAGATTGATATTACATGTGAACTTAGGTTCTGAACACTCACATAAGTATATGAAACTCAGTAAAGATTCAAACAGTGATAGCCCTAGACAGTTAGATACAGGGTGGCACATTTGCTTATAATAATATGGAAGTATTTAAGACAGTGGTTCTCAACCTGTGGTCCACAGACCCAGTGGCGGATTAAGGCTCACTGGTGCCCTAAGCACTGACAAATCTTGGTGCCTCCCTCCTTTGTACATACTGTACAAACAAAGCCAAGCTTAGGCTATATAAAAGTTTTTGTGGTGCCCCCTTTGGGCCTGGTGCCCTAAGCACGTGCTTAGTCTGCTAATTATTAATACATCACTGCATGGACCCCTGGAGGGGTTGAGGGCTTGACGTCATCACAAGGGATCTGCAAAGGCTTGAAGAAATGCTATGATTTAAATTTTGAGTTGGGGGTCCCATGGCCATGGTCCATGGCCACAAAAGCTATTTAAAGAGGGTACATGGTGAAGGAAAGGTTGAGAGCCAGTGCTTTAAGGCAGGGGTCCCCAACCGCCGGTCCGCAAACCGGTACCGGTCCGCGGAACAAGTCTTACCGGGCCGCTGGTTGCTGGGCGCCGCCATCTTTTTTGACGAAAAAGTGCTTCCAGTGAGGTCACCGGAAGCACTTTTTCGTCAAAAAAAGATGGCGGCGCCCAGTTGATGCTGGTACCGGGCCGCGGCGCCCAGCTGATGCCGGTACCGGGCCGCGGCGTCAAAAAGTTTGGGGATCACTGCTTTAAGGTATTATTCCTATACACATTTCTTAGCAGGATTATCTTCTGAGTAAAAATGCATATAATTATATTAAATATTACTCCCTCTTTGACCTATTGACTAACGTTATTACAATGGTGCTGAACAAGGAGCTCATGGCTAGGTCTTGTGGCCAATGCAGTGATCTTGTGGACATGTGATTGCAATTTAGATGCCAGTGATTACCATTTTTGACCTTTAGTGCTGACTTCCAAACAAACAAAGTCAGTGGAAAGTTTGGCAGGAGGTGACCAATAGTGATGATGTCACACTTAACAACTACAAGGGAGTTGATTAACCACAGCAACCAAAATTGCCACCACTGGAGTCATGAGTGTGATCACATGACATCCTATTTTATTACTGTATTGCTTAGTGACAGAAATACCAGTTCCCACCATCATAGTCAAGTGAGGGCTATTTCATTTTGGTTTGTAGCTTCCCAAAACATCTTCCGTTTCCTCTATCTGCACATTTATTCAGTTGCAGTTGCAGGAATAGGTTTTTTCCCCCCTGCTGGGTTCCTATTTGCCTTCCTTCCCTCACCTTGCCTTCCTAAACTTACTAACCTTTCCCATGTGTTAAACTAAAACCATCAAGAATGTCCAGCTAGCATGGTCATAAGACTTTTAGAAGGACCAATCATTTTATCTCATCTTCAGAAAGTAGGCAAGAGCAAATCAATTTCAAAATCTTGCCAAGAAAACTGTCCAAGCAGTTGTCAGGAGTTAACTAGAGTAGAGTAGAGTAGAGTAGAGTAGAGTAGAGTAGAGAGTAGAGTAGAGTAGAGTAGAGAGTAGAGTAGAGTAGAGTAGAGTAGAGTAGAGAGTAGAGTAGAGTAGAGTAGAGTAGAGTAGAGTAGAGCAGAGCAGA